CCAGAGCCAGAGGTAGTATGTAGGGTGCCTCTGCATTTTAGCTGAAGGCTGAGGGGCCAGTGAGGCTGGGGTTAGGGGATGTATGGGTCTGGGAAGAAAGCCTATGGATTCTCGAGCTTTCGGTTTTCAGGGCAATTGGATCCTAGACCTGAGCAGGGAAAATGCACATGAAGAGGAAGGTGGTGCTTGGTTAGTTCAGGTTCAAGATGGGCTGTGGTCCCAACTTGTGACTTGGGGAAGAAGGATGGGTTAATTAGGGCTCACCGTGCTTAAAGAAAAGCATTTTGGCTTGTGGAATGGAAAAAAATCCAGGGAATATCTGAGTTTGGTTCAAGCACAGTTGGATCTGGGTTTGCATGATGCTTTCAGGAATCTTTCTTTTTTTTAAGTAGTGAAAATATAGTTGTTAAAAGAGAGTAAAGGTATCATAGGAATGCAGCAATCATGTGCCTTGGAAAACTTTCATGGAGACAGAATAACTGCCACCAACAACCTGTCACTCCTATGGGCAACTTCAGCAGAAGGAGCGAGCCTGTTCTAAATGAACCAGATAGAAGTCCCAGGATCGAACCTCTTTGCTGCCAATCAGGGCAAATACTCATCCCTGAGTCAATCACTCTGATTGGTCACTGTGGTTCTCAGGCCCAGGCAGGCTTTATCCCACATAGGAAGAAGAAAGGGAGGAAGTAGAGGGATCCAAGGGGATACTTCCTGTGCACCAGGATGGTCTCATGCTGAACATTCTTATCTGACTTACTATCCCAGGGCTCTACCCATCTTTCAAGTTAGAGATGGGACTGGTGGCATGTGTCTGTAATCCCATACTTGGGAGGTAGAAGCAGTAGGATCAGAAGTTCAAGGTCATCCTTGCTGCACATCAAACTCAAAGCTGAGCTATGAGCCAGTCTGAGCTATGAGAGATCCTGTCTTAATTAATCAACTAAGTGAGGAAGGAGACCCAAGACGTTAGTTACTCATCTGCCAGTTGGTGGAAACAGGTTGTGCTGTTAGTGCTGACAAAAATTGGAGCCCCTCAGACTCCAACACCCATCTTGCTTCCTTTTCTGAACACTGAGGTTGGGGACATCACCCACTTTCCTCGTGAGGTCTCTGTTCAGTGGCCCTTTCCTCAGTGCCTGTATGATAAGGATGGGCCATTCCCTGCCCTCCCTGCACTAGAGGACAGGTCCTGCACTGTCCTTGACTGCTTGTCTCAGCTTTGAGTGAGAACTCATGAGCCTACATTCCCACGTGGAACCTGCAACCAGATTCCCAGCATCCCACCCACAGCTCCAGGGTAACTCTCAGAACCTCCAGGACTCCCCAGAATGTGGTCCTAGTTGATAGTTACAGCTAGGAGTGGTCACTGAGGTTCCTCTAGTCTAGGACATTTGGAGACTCTTCATGGTAGTCTTCTTGGAATCTCCAGAGCCCAGCGGAGGTAGGCATGACCGTAGGCAGGTCTTAGCTTCAAGAGATACACTTGTCTTGCCTGAGAAAATCAGGGGGGTAAAAAGGGGCCGAGGTCCTTCACAAATACCAGGCTACCACTGGGTGCTGGGGTGGTTCTTCTGGGCTTTCATGCCTATCAGTCTCCATCCTGCTGAGACAGGCTGACACACCACTGGAGTGACAGGTAAGGGCGGGAGAAAAGGAAGTTTCCCTCCCCCCAGCTCTCCAATTCCATAAAACTTTCTCCAGCATTGTTTCCAGTGCCACTAATATTCATGAGCGACTTTCCCATTGTGCTCCAATGGGAAGTCAGGCAGGTACTCTCTATTCAGGTCTTATTAGCAAGTGTCTCTTAGATTCTAGGCTTTCCGATAGGCATGCTTCCCACTATGGTGACAGCCAGAGCAGGTCTGAATCCAGTGTGACCCTCAGACTCCACCACAGAAAAAAAGAGGAAGGTGGGCAGGATGGAAGCAGCCTGAGCCGGTTATTTTATTAAGGCGCTCTGAAGGGACTGGGGTGGTAGGATGGAGAGGCTCCCTGAAGATGGCTGCCTTTACCCTAGAAAGGGGCCATTCACCCAGTCTTTCAACCATTTGTCCTTTCATTTATTCAGCAAAATATTTGCCAAGTGCTTCCCTTGTGCCCCGCCTAGACAGGGTTCAGGGGTGTTGACTGGCATGCTGCCTCCCTCCAAAACCTTGGGGTGGTGAGAGGCATCTGTATGTGTGGACACATGTCCTCTGGTAGGTACTGTGGAGAGGAGGACACTGTGCTTTGGTCCTCAGAGATGGGCAGTGAAATCAAACTGGGCTTAGCAGCACCTTGGAACAGTTGAAGAGAACACAGGACACATATGGATGGGCAGCAGGGCCAGGAGCCAGCCCCAAGACCACTTTGAACTTGGAGGACTTCCTTTCTAATGCTTAGAAGCTACATGACCTTGGCCAAGCCTCTCTTCCATTCCTCCCCAACGCCCTTAGTCCCTGGATCTGGAGTCTGCCCCATCCCCACACGCTGCTGCAGCCTCACCAAAAGCTTCCATCCATCTCCAAATACATAGGGATGAGGAAGAGAGCTAAGAAAGTACTGAGAGAGGACCATTGTTCTCAACCTGCCTGGGGTTGGTTCAACCTGACCTTGTTCTCCAAAGCAGAAGAAGTCTGGACACCACAGAAAGGGGCCCCCAAAAGGGTGACTTTGGCTCTGAGCTTCAGTATGGAGCTGGGAGAGGGTACTGTTGAGGTTGGATTGGGGGATCAGGAGGACATTGTTGTCACCCACCTGAGCTTTCTAGTTACCAGTAGCTGAGTTGGAACTGTCTCAGCTGTTGGGTAGCTGTGTGACTCTGCGCAAGCCTGGTAGCCTTTCTGGCCACTTGTGAGGTGATCATGAGGACTGAGTGAGAGGCATAAAACGGCTCAGCAACGAGGCTGCCATGCAGCAGGCTCTCAAACAGCTTTTATTTTGGGACTGGCCTCTCAGTAGCCTCAGCTGGTGAGCAGCTGAGCTCTTCCTACTTTTGGAGAGTGGGTGGAGGCTGGATGCTCTGCCCTTTGAGCTCCAGTTGGACAGAGTTAAGGATATGAGAAGATCATGTGAGTAGTATGGAGGCTGCCAGCTGAGAAAAAGGGACCCAGCCTCCACAGGCAGGCTTCTGGGCAGGTACCTTGGGGGATTCTCCATGGGGGGGGGCTGGGGATGAAATAATGTGCTTTTATGCAGAACTGAAGCATCTAGAATGTCCCAGCTGGAAATGGGGACCATCCTGGCCAACCCCCTTAATTTCCTTTAGCCACTTAGGTTAGTTGTCTGTTGCTATGCTAACAAGTCACCACACACTTGTTTGTGTAAAGCCACACTGCATGGGGGGGGTGGTAAAATGTTTGGGGCTGGAGAGATGGCTTAGTGGATAAGAGTGATTTTGCTTTGATAGAGGACCCAAGTTAGGCTCCTGCACCTATGTCCAGCCTCTTACAACTCCAGCTACAAGGGGTTAGATGCCATCTTCTGGCCTCTGTGGGCACTGCACACACACAAACACACACACACATACACACACACACACAGTTGAAGATAAAACAAATCTTTAAAAAACCTGAAAAAACCCCAAAGGTTTATATTTTTAGCTTCAGAGGTGAGACACCCAAACTATGTGTGGATGTGCAGACAACCAAAGGCCTGTGAACTCTGGGGAAGATGTGATTCACCTGCTCTGTGCCTGGAGGCTGGAGATCGTTCTTGGCCGACAGCTATGTGCCTTGGTCTATGCTTTGATGGTCACATTGCCTTCTGCTCCTCTGGGGTGTCTCCCCCGTGCTTACACATAAGACCACCTAGATAATGGAGGATAGTGTCCACATCTCAAGATTCCCAATTAATCAGATATGCTAGTTCTTCCTGCATGCCATAGAAGGAGGCAACATCCACAAGTTCCAAGAACTAGGGGGTGAATATCTTTAGGGGTCAATATTCAGCCTATCACAGTGCTGAACTTTTCTTGAGTTAATTTTGCACTTAGTCTGGTGAAATGAGTTCAACAAATTTCTCACATGGGCCCCTCCCACTAGTTTCCCCTGGACTCTCAAAAAGTAGAAAACAAGTGCCAAAAGTAGGAAATGAACATGTTAGGACATGATTGGCAGAACATCAAAAGTCATTGGGGCATCCTCAGGTTTCTGGTTCATGTCCTTTTTATCTGGGGACGCATCCCAGGACATCACACTGCATCACTCATGGGTCCTGCCTGGTCCCCTCCATTATGTATAGAGTCTCAGTCTTTCCTTATCATTTGCGATCCTATCTGACACTGAAAGAAAAGTGTGTGTGTGTGTGTGTGTGTGTGCGCGTGCGCACGCACACAGGTATGCACATGTGCATGCACATATGTGGTCCTGCATGCCTTGGCATGTGTGGGGGTCAGAAAACAACTTCAGGTGTCAGTATTCACCATTTGCTTTGCTTGACCAGGTCTCCTGAGCTGGGTTCCAGGATATGGGTTGCATCACTGACTACGCCAAGCCAGAAGACCTTCAAGCTTCAGGGGGTCTCCTGCCTTTGCTTCCCATCTCATCACAGAAGTACTGGGGTTGAGGCTTGAGTGTTCATGCCTTGCTTCATGTAGATGCTGGGCATCTGAACTCAGGTCCTCACACTTGCATGGCATCTCCTCAGCCCTCAATCCTTGATATTCTTGAACAAACCCAGACAGGCTTTTCACAGACTAATCTGCTTGGTTTTGGTGAGTGTTTTCATGACCCCACTAAAGTTGTGTCATTCTGGAACAGACAATGTAGGATGTGCCTAATCTCAGAGGAACCTGAGGATGGAGAGACATCTGCAGCTAGCCTTGTCACTTTCCCTCTCTTGGCTCTGTTCAGCGTCTCCACCGTAAACTTAGTATTTTCCCTTTCATAATTGCTCAATACTAGAGGGACACGGTGGCCTTCTCCTGCCCCTGCTTAAGTGATGACTACTAATTTTGGCCTCTATGAGGAGACCTGGTCTGTGGTAATGGTGGCTCATTCCTTCTCCATCTTTCGCCTTAGGTCAAGGCTCTCCCTCCTGCCTCTGTGTGTACTTGTGGTTCATCTGCCCAAGTAGACTGGCAGGAATCAGCTTTCCTCTCTGGGTGGACCTTCAGCACTTCCATTATTTATCTTCTGGAGCCAGTCCATCATCACAACTTTGGTCAGAGAAACTTCTCTTTGCCGTGGACAGCAGTTAATGCAGAGATTCAATCCAGAGAGCTGAGAGTGAGTAACTGTTGCATGCTCGGCCTGAAATGAGACATCTCTCTCAACACCTTGGCTCCAAGGCTAAGGGAGCATGATGAAAGAAACAAAAAAGTAAGAGCCAGAAGATGGGAAGAAGTTCATGGCTGTTGTGCCCACGAACTCAGCACCTGGGGTTATGTGCACAAGATTTGTACAAGATCAAGCTAGCCAAAATTCTAGCGTGGATGAAGGGCATGTTCTTGAGACCCCGCCCCTAGCTGAGAAGCTATCCACAGTTGGTGGCTTCTTGGGGTGAGAGTCAATTTTCTTCTGAGGTGTGGTTCCTACTCAGGTGCCCACTTGCCAGTGGATGGCCCCATAGCCATGCACACGTAGGCAATGCTACTTATACCCAATGAGTTACTGAAAGAAAAGAAAGGGCACATGAAGGCGGGAGGCCAATGTGTTGAGGGCTTGCAGAAGTGGGAGGGAGCGAGGACTGGGGGATGGATATGATCAAGGTGAATACAAGGCTAAAATGAATATTGACACAGTCCCATGGCTGCTTCCTCAGGGTCAGCATTTGCCAAAGCACGCTTGCAAAAGTGATGGAAAATGCCAGAATCCCAGAATAGACGGTGCTTCCTTTAGAAATTGTTTTCAGTCCCAATTAGGGCAGGATTGTGTGCATATGGAGTTGTCAAAGAATACATTAAAATATTTTTGAAACATTGTAATGGAAATAAATATTCACTCTACAATCATTGATAGGCTGATGTGTAAACAAAACTCTTCATTCCAATAACAACGCCAGACAAGCATAGCAGCATAGGACACACCTGTAATCCTAGTACAGATAGGGAGCCAGGAGGATCCATCGGGCTTGCTGGCCAGTCAATAAAGAGTGATCAAGGAGTTCTAGGATCAGAAAGAGATTCAGTCCCCCTGAATATGGTAGAGTGATTAAGGAAGACACTTTACACCACTCACACACACACACACACACACACGAGCGCACACGTGCGGTGTGTGTAGGCCATGTGTCCTCTTTCTCTGTCAGCAAAGCTCCCATGTGTTCCATATTGCTGGCCTCAGGGAACTGCAGGTCCTGAGGCTCTGAGGGAGGCTTCATGGGCTGGCTGAGCACCCCTTACTCAGCCAGGCCAGGCCAGTCCAGCAGGCAGGAATTTGTTCTTTTCCCATGGGCAGAGAAAGATTGCTTATTAAGGAGCACACTGAATATGCCTTGATTTTAATCACTGCTTCAAACTTAGCATAATTGTTTTTACAATAAAGCCTGGTCTTTTCCATAATAGGTGCTGAGGGTCTGATCTTGCCATTCAACCAGAAGAATGCCTTTTCCACTCACTAAGAAAAGGAAAATACAAGTCAGAAACCCACAGATGCCAGCCTGCCCCAGCAGCCTTGCCTCTTCTCCTGCAGCTCCTTGGCTGCAGCTGCCTCTTCCCACAGGACGTTCTGAGACTCTGCAGGGCTGGGGAGAAGTGTGGCCCATGGGTGCCTTCACGGGAGAGAAGTAACAAAGTCAGGGCACAGAAGCCACAGTACAAAGAACAAGCTAAAAACAAAACAAGAAAAAAGAAACCCGAACAACAAAATCACAAAAAACCGGAGATGTAGTGAAGTGGTCTAGTGTTTGCTTTGAATACCTCAGATACCAAACCAATCAAAAGAAATACACGGAACATTCTCCACAGAAACCCAACACATCTGTGGTTTGTCTTGTTTTTGTTTTTATAAAGAAATACACTAAGTAAGCAGACAAGTGGTTGGCGTGCTGTCACAGAGCCCTGATGGGCTCCCAGTGCTCAGTTACTCAGGACAGTCAAAAGCTGCTGTGGGGCCTGGCACACAAGCGTGAGGGTCTGAGTTTGGCTCTCCAGCACCCACAAGAAAGGTGTGCATGGTGGTGTGATTCTGGAACCCCAGTGCCCGGGAGTGTATGGGATGAATCCCAAACTCCCTGGATAGCCAGTTTAGCTGAGCTGGTGAGGTCCGGGTTCAGTGAGAGACTCTGCCTCAAAAAAATAAGGCACAAAGCAAGCGAGGAAGACACCTGATGTCAACCTCTGATCTAAACACACGTATGCACATGGGAACACAGAGACAGACAGACACACACACACACACACACACACACACACACACACACACAGAGAGAGAGAGAGAGAGAGAGAGGGAGGGAGACACACAGAGAGACATAGATACATTATCACAGATCAGCATTCTCTTTGTATTGATTTTCCAGGTGCCCTTGCTAACCTCCAGCACAGAAGCCCCAGCTCCCAGGTGCCCTGGGGGCAGAAGGGCAGATGGGAAGTCTCTTCACCCTCTCCATGGTAGGCCAAAGCATTCTGATCCGTGAGTGTCTTTGGAGGTCAACAGAGTGAGGCGACAGTAATCAGAGCACAGCATCCACATAGGGCACAGGCAAACTCCGAGAGGGCTCTTTCCCACCTGTGTCCTTGAAAGCTTGGAGATGTCTTTGCTAAGGAATGTGCCACTCTGCGGGCTTCAATGGACTTCAGGAATGTCCATGGTCACAGGGAGAGGGAGGAACACCCCCTCCCCCAGGGACTGGGGTAGCCAGAAACAACAGGACTGGAGTTAAAGTATGTCTGGAAGAGGGTCTGTGAGCTCTGGCAGAAGGAGCTGGGAAACTGCTAAAGGCAGGGCACTCCTACATCTTGTCACTTTTTGGGCCACTCAGGTCTTTGTAGAGACAACCCTGATGTGGCTGACAGAACCTGGGACTGGGAATCAGAAGGACCTGAGCTTCCCAGACCATCTCAGGTTGTGGATGAGTTACTTTCATTTGGGGAAGTCCTGTGTCAATAAAGCACTGCTGGCCAATAGGAATCTAGATAGGTGGGACTAGGAGTCCATGAGAACTCTGGGAAGGAGAAACACAGAGAGTCAAGATGTACCGCCATGGGGTAGGAAGCCCGGAACTCTTCTCCGGTAAGAGAAATACTTAGATTAACAATTATGGGGTAATTACTTAAGTCAGAGCTAGCCAGTAAGAAAAAAGCAAGGACAACAGCTTCATAATTAATATAGCCTCCTGTGTGTTTATTTGGGACTGATGCGGCTCTGGAATCAGGCTGGCGGGAAGGCTTCTCTCAAGGAAAAGGCTTCTCTTTACAACTTTCTGCTCATATGGGCAACAAGATATGCAGGAGAACATTCGGGCATGACCTGGCTGTCAGCCTACCTGGCACACTCCACTTCTAAGTAAGAAGCACGGCATACCATGCTTCTGAGGTTCCCAGAAGTCGGAACACCGAATTCCAAAGTGGCATGTGCAGCCAGTTGCTGGCCTGTGGAGGAGTCTGCACTCTCCATGTCTCTTTTAATGTTCTTCTGCATAGAGACCCTGGTGGATTGAGCCCACACTGTAACCCTAGGCAATGTGCTAACCAATCTCAGCCAATAGGCTTCTGCTATCTAAGTGGTGGCTCATGTGCAATAAGGCATACGCTGTTCCCTGAAATGATCTCCAGAGTAGTTCTTCTCTGTGCCATTTATGGACCCACAGGCATTGCAGTCATTTGAGTGGACAACCGGTAATGATGGCAACGGCAAAGGTAGAAGCTGCTGTCTGGCCACCCCTGACATTTTAGAGGAAGTCTCTCCAGGGTCTAAGAAGTAACTGTCCTTCAGCTTTCTTGCCACAAGCAAGGAGGCTTTCAGGAGACTATAGTCCAGATGGGAGAGCTCTGGGGATCCAGGCACTGTGTGGGTTGGGTCCCTTAGAAGCTGAGTTGAAATGGGTGTTCCTTTGCATGTTGGGACTGGGAAAGAATGCTCAGGGAACAGAGCAGCAGCATGCAGCGAATGGTGTGGGCTCAGCAGCAGCTGAACATTGGCTTGCTCCATGGAACTGAGGCAGGGATTGAAACAACATCCTTGCTAGTCACAGGGCCTGGACTGCCTTGAGACTGGGGTGACTTCCTAGCCATCTCTGTCTGCAGCAGCTTCAGTCAGTCAATAACCTTCAGAGACCGGTGCACTGTGATTGCCAGCACCCCTGGGTGGGGCACCCGGTGACATCTGTGGCATGTTGCTCTGCTTTGGGGAAATCACTGAAATTTTCTTTTATTCCTATTGTTTCTAATATTAGCATACTGGAATGACCTGGGACGGGAACAGATCTTTTTCCTACATGTAGCGGGTTGTCAACAGGGAGTAGAACACCCATTGTATGGGAGTGTGTGGCTGGAAAGATCCAGTCGGTACAGGTCATCAAAAGCCCATAAACCAGATAAATGGATATTTGATAGAAACGTAATTCTGGGCTCTGAGGGCCTTCGCCAGCCCCATGGTGAAATACAGCTGCTGTCTGACCTCTGGGAGGATAAATCTGCCCAAAGCTTTCTAGCCTAAGTCCTGGAAAGTCCTAGCAGGCTGCTTTTCTGGAGGAGCGCATGCATTTAGCATGAGGTGTTTATGCTCAGGCAGAACTCCTGGACTCCTTGCCCAGCCTGGTCACAGCTCTTCTCCTGTCCCAAGTATATCTCAGTGCTGTCCTGGGGCCCTAGAGCTGCCTGGATGACTCAAAAGGAAGAGCTACCCCCCACCACCTTTTAGTCTTTGGTAAAGGAAAACGGTCAGAATGGAGAGGCAGTTCAGCTGGTAAAGTCATTTGCCAACAAACCCGATGGCCTGAATTTGATACCTGGGACCCAGAAGGTAGAAGGGGAGAACCAGCTCTCACAAGTTGCCCTCTGACCTCCAAACAAATGCTGTGGCATGTACATTATAAAATAAATATATAAATAAACTTAAAGGAAAGGGTTAATATATAGCATAATATAGCTACCAACTTGGGAAGCAGCCAGTAGATGTGTGAGGATGTGGCAATGGATTTTTCAGCCCTTGACCTTGGGGCAGCAGGTGGAGCGCATGCTCCTCACCACCACATAAACTGGGTGCAGTGGTGGCACATGTCTGTCACTCCTGCACTCAGGAGGTGGAGTTGGGAAGAACGGAAGCTGAAGGCAAGTTCTAGGCCAATCTGGGCTGTGAGATATCCTGTCTCAGAATAAAGGAATGAATAAAGAGGTGAACAAGGAGAACATTGGTTCCATGACAGAGACTCAAAACAGAATCCAGGCAGGAACTGATGCCAGGGCTATAACCCATGGAGTCTGCTTCCTGGTCACTCACTACCTCTAACTAGGCTCTCACCTCCTAATGGTTTCCACAAGTCTCCCCAAACAGTACCACTATCCAGCATGTTCAAACACAGGAGCTTGTAGGGAGCATTTTGCATTAAAATCTCCTAGTGTCAGAAAAGTAGGGAATAGGGTATTTGCTTGTTTGTCTTCGGAAAAGCATTTTTCCCTTCCTCCCTTTTCTAGTTTCTTATACCTGAACCATTCATCCCAAAGGGGAAGAGGCTGTCTGAGGAGCCCTGGACAGTAGCAAGAAGCTAGCAGTAGAGCAATCAATCTCCCTTCTCTTGTACTATCCCCATTATGGTTCAAATGTTCCCCCCATTCAGGTATTGATATTTAATGGCCAACATGACAGTCTTCTTAGTTAGCTGAGGCAGAAGGATTGCCAAATTTTGAGGTCAGTCTGGGCTACACAGTAAGGAGTCCTCCTCCTTCGGGAAGAGGCTTCATGAGACATTGGGTTCCTCTTTCTCTTCTGCTTCTCTCCATGATAGGACAAGGATGTCACCCCACTCCCGCGATGGAGCCACAGACACCATCTTAGAAGAGGATGTCATCAGACACTCTTACCTGACTTTGGACTCTCCAGCCTCTAGAACTGTGGTTCTTGGAGATCAAGGCATCAGATGACACAGCTTTTGGTGTCAGTATAATAAGTAGGGCTCCTGACTCTGTGGGGTGCTCTTTAGTCTCATCTCGGCTTCACCTCATGACCGCACAAGCATAGACTCCCAGACTGCAAGAATTGACTGAAGTCTTGCAGATCACATAACCAAGTGGGTCTGGGAGCCAAAAATAAGGGAGATAGCTGCCCAGCCAAATATCCTGAATCTAGAAAATGGAGGGTATAGGTAAGTCCTGGTATTGTTTAGTCAGGTCCTTCCTAGCCCATTGGTCTCTGTGCAACCAATCCAGGAGCTAGCTTGTCACATAGACAACCATTCTTGGCCTAAACGCCTTCCAAAAAATCCTGGCCAGCCAAATAGACAGACATCTGTCATTGGCATAACAATGAGGTCGCGGGACTCATAACAGGAGGCCGTGGGATTGACTCCACTTAGAATAGCTCAGAAAATTAGGCAGGACAAACAAACCGCTTCTGATGTCGGGCTGAACTGGGAGTGTGGATACATTTCAGCACCCGGGACAGCTCCACGCAGGCCCATGACTCCTCCCTCCATGGCACTGCTGACCTCAGAACTTCAAAACCTAAGCTTAACCTCTGAGGGTGCCAGTGATTGCCATCCACAGGTTGACTGAAAGGAATCCAAGTGCTTGCAGAAGCAAGGTGTGATTTGATTTTTTAAAGTTTGTTCCCACTTTTAATATAGAATCTCATGTAGCTCAGGCTGGCCCTAAATTTGCTATAAAGCTGAGAATGACCTTGAACTTCTGATCTTTCAACTGCCACTTTTGGAGTGCTGGGATTATAGGTGTGAACTATCACACCCAGCTTGCGTGGTGCTGGGAATTGAACTCAGGGCTCCCTGCAGGATAGGCAAGCATGCTCCCAATTGAGT